CCTTGGTAGCTCCTCAGGACCTGCTCCAGCAACTCAACATCCTCCTGGTAGTGAGGGGCCCAGAACTGGACCCAGGGCTCGAGGTGCAGCCTCACCAGTGCTGGGCACAGGGGCAGGATCACCTCTCTGCTCCTGCTGGCCACACTATTCCTGATGCAGGCCAAGATGCTGTTGGCCTTCTTGGCTAACTGGCCCCAATTCTGGCCGTCGTCGCTGGCTCCACTAGGAACAAACGCCCAGGATCTGGCCGTGCAGGGTGAGGGTGGAGGGATGACAGTGGGAGCTGAAGTGAGGACAGTGAGCTCTTGGATCCCAAGTGCTGGTGACCGGTGGCAACAAGCTGCTTCACAAATTGCACAGGTTGGCATGTATTTTGCAGGACTCAGTGTTTGTGATTCAAAAGTTAAAAAAAAACCCAGATTTTCCTTGGCAAAAGACCTGGCTTGTCCTGGTGCATCCCCTGGCAAATTTCAGGACAGAGACTGGGCTAAATCCAAGTTGGATTGTCTGCATGGGACTGTCTGCATGGGAGTTCAGAAGAGCTGTGCCAATTTTATTGCCTTTCTTCTTTGCTAACCCAACCTCTGCTGTTTAACATAACCCAGCTTTTCACAGAATTTCTTCCAGTGAGATGCCCTGGAGCAGAGAGATTCTGGGAATCACCTTCTTTAGGTGCTCCTTCCATTGATTAATTATTGATGCCAGAAGTGATAACACTGGTGGCTGCAAGACAACATGAAAGGTGGAGATCAGCTATGGGCCTTTGTCAGTGCAGCAATTAAGCTGAAAGACAGTAAATTTAGATGGGACATAAGGAAGGATTTGTTTTATGGTGAAGGTGGTGAGACAAACAGGCCCTGAAAGTGTTGAAGGGCAGGTTGGATGGGGCTTGGAGCAGCCTGGGCTGGTGGGAGGTGTCCCTCCCCATGCAGGGGGTTGGAACTAGATGATCTTTGAAGGTCCCTTGCAACCCAAACCATTCCATGATCCATGATTATCACCTTCATACTCCAAGCAAATGGGCCAGAGCAAAAGGGCTTTATCCCCCTCAAGAAAATTAGACACTGGAGAAGAGGGATGAAGAGGATAGAGGAAAGCAGAAGCTGCTCCAAGCCTCCTCCCAGCTGCTTCCCCACATCTGAGCTTCTCATTTCCCTTCCTGTTTTAAGCATGGAATTTTTTTTCCCTTGGATTCAGTGTATTTACTTGTACCAGAGCACAAACCCCAACCCTGAAAGTCGTTGACCTAATTCTCTTAAACAGAAGCTGCCAATTCAGTGTGTTAAGAAAATAAATCTGCTGTAAATACTTTTCCAGAGAATACTGTTTTCCACACAGATGTTTATACCAGCACAGAGATGTTCCAGTTCATTGTTATATACATGTTTATACAATTTTCAAAAAACACATCTTTACTCCCCACAAAGCCATTGTCAAGCTGTTCATTCTTTGGCAGACACGAAGGTCTCAGCATTAGGAAGATTATTCTTATGATTCATGTTGTGATTGCTCATACAAGGTCCAGGCACAGGCTAATCCAGGAAGGACACAGAGCTCTTGGAGCAAGTCCAGAGGAGGGCTCTGAAGAGGATCCAAGGGCTGGAGCAGCTCTGCTATGAAGACAGGCTGAGAGAGTTGGGGTGTTCAGGCTGGAGAAGAGAAGGCTCCAGGGTGACTTTATATCAGTCCTCAAGTATCTGAAGAGCCTACAGGAAAGCTGGGGAGGGGCTTTTTACCAGGGTGTGTAGTGATAGGACAAGGGGTGATGGTTTTAAACCTGAAGAGGGGAGATTTAGGTTAGATATTAGAAATAAATTATTCACTGCGAGGTGGGTGAGACACTGGCCCAGGCTGCCCAGGGAGGTTGTGGATGTCCCCTCTCTGGAGGTGTTCAAGGTGAGGTTGAACAGGTCTTTGTGCAACCTGGTCTAGTGGAAAGTGTCCCTGCCCTTGCAGGGGGGCTGGAACTAGATGATATTCTAGATCCCTTCCAACCCAAACCATTCTAATCCCCACAGTCAGTGAAAGGATGGTCTCTGCCTGGCAGAACTTACAGTCTTGGAAATATCCCTCTGCTGTTAAAAAAACCCACAACTGTGGGCTGAGGGAAATCTACTTTTCAAGTTTATAAAAGAATGTCAGGCCACCCTGAGCAGAACAGGCAGGAGGCTTGAAGTGTCCCTGTGTGCAAGGAGCTGGGAGAGGAATGAAGAGCATCTAAGTGGTTCTTCTTCCTTGGCTTCCTTGTGGCTCTGTGTTCCATTTGGCCAGCCAGACTCTCTGGTAGGTGCCCAGGAGGACAGGAGCTTGCTGATGTGTCTTGATGTCCTCTGCACACATCCTCAGAGCCCTCTTTCTCTGCTCAACAGCAAGCACATGGATCTCCAACAGATCACCAGTCAGTGCATTGGGTGCAGCTTTATAATCACAGAACCACTTAGGCTGGAAAAAACCTTTGAAAGCATCAATTCCAATCATAAAACTGACACTGCCAAGTCCACCACTAAACCATGTCCCTCAGCACCACATCTACACATATTTAAAAACCTACAGGGGTGGTGACTCCATCACCTCTCTGGGCAGCTTTTTCTGGGGCCTTGACAAACCCTTTGGTGAAGAAATTTTTCCTAATATCCAAAGTAAACCTCCCCTGGTGCAACTTGAAGCCATTTCCTCTCACCCACTCACTTGTAACTTGGCAGAAGAGACTGACCCCCCTCTCTCCAACCTCCTCTCAGGTAGTTGTAGAGAGTGAGAAGGTCCATCCTCAGCCTCCAGGCTGAACAGCCTCAGCTCCCTCAGCTGCTCCTCATCAGACTTGTGCTCCAGACCCTTCCCCAGCTTCATTGCTCTTCTCTGGACATGCTCCAATCCTCAATGTCCTTCTTGTGCTGAGGGGCCCAAAACTGAACCCAATGTTTGAGAAGCAGCCTCACCAGTGCTAAGGTGACCATCCCTGCCCTGGTCCTGCTGGCCACACAGTTTCTAACACAAGCCAGGATGCTGGTGGCCTTCTTGGCTACCTGGGCACACTGCTGGCTCATGTTCAGCCTTTGTTGATCAACAACCCCAGGTCTCTTTCTGCTGAGCAGCTTTCCATGCCTGTAGCTTTGCATGGGGTTGTTGTGGCTCAAGGGCAGGACCCAGCAGCTCTTGGCCTTGTTGAACCTCACTCAGTTGGCCTCAGCCCATCAACCCAGCTTGTCCAGCTCCTTCTGTAGATCCTTCCTATCCTCAAGCAGACCAACACTCCTCCCCAACACTCCTCCCCAGTTTGGTGTGGTCTGCAAACTGAGACCCAAAGGATGAAAGATTTCAGGCATCCAAACCTACTGGTAACAAACATGAAGCCCAACAGAGATCCTGGGTGGAAATCAAATCCCACTCCCCAAAGAGAGAAACCCTGAAACAGCACAGCAGTGGCCACGACCTCTCCAGGGGATGTGGGATAGCAGCTACAATGGAGCTGTTGGTTGTGGGAATCCCAGGACCCTGGTGGCCTGAGGCTATGGAGGCTTTCATGGTCTTGGCTTTTTAATTCCTTCTCAAGGGAAGAATGAAATTCAAACCAGGCTTAGCCAGATGTCACCAGCAGCAAGGACTGCTGAGAGCCTTGTCAGAGCTGTCTCCTCCAGTCCACTCCAAAACCCTGATCCCACTTTTGCCTTTCATGGGCTGCTCCCTCCACCCACTGCTTTCCTCAGCATGGCTTTGACTGTGGGGTAAAAGGGCTAAAAAACCGCAAGAGTGATTGTTTCCACTTAGTGCAGGCACAGAGGGTTTTGATGCAGAGTCAGATGCCTGCCCAGCAAAGCTGTGACACCAAAGAGGTCAGGTGTGTGGTTCTAGTGATCCAGGATGGTGTGACCACCTACAGAAAAGGTACCAGTTCCCCATGGACAGGCAACAATAAGCCAATGGCTTAGGCTGTGAGAAGTTCTTGTTATAAACATTGACACCTCTGGACAATCATGTCCACAGAATAAAGAGATAGAAGTAGTGAGTGGCCTGAAGACAGATTTGAAAGCAACAGTGCCCTCAGTAACACCTCACAAAACCAAGGAGTCTCTGCATGCCCTTGGTACGGATCTGGAGAGTTTATTTACACTTACTCTGATTTGATCCTGTGCATTTAAAAATATAATAAACACAGACCTCCTTGTGAATGTTTCAGTGCTGAAAGACTGAAGAAACAGTCTCACTACCCCTAAATCTGCAGTGCTCTCCACTTCTGGTATTTGGTGGGTACAGGATGTCAGGAGAAAATGTCATGCAATTATACTAAGAAAATATTTATGAGCAGTTGAAAAGAGCAGTTCAGGCTCAAGCAGAGATTCAAGTTTGGTTTTATTTACCTTGCACAAATTGCTCAGTGCCCAAAGGTTGTATTGGCAAGGAAGAAAATGCCACCACCTGGAACAGATGGCAGACACCCTGATCTGAAATTGATGGGTATGACAAACGGGATCAGCGAGATGGATTTGGGATAAACTGTGATTTAAAACAGCAGCACATGGAGGCCAAAAAGCCGTGAAAAACCTTTGCTGGTTTTCATACAGCAGGTTGAGGTAGAAGTGGTGGTGCAGGGAAACACTGTGAGGCTCTTTGGAGGTGCTCTGGCCAGGGAGCCTCTTTTGGAAAGGCTTGTTTTGCTCTCAGTCACAGCACAGAGACCAGTAGAGGTGGTTTGAGCTGGCAGGCAGCCTGAGGCCACCCTGCACCTCCCTGGCTGCCAGAAAAGTAATGAGCAAATACTTCCGCTTTCAGGCTGCTCCCTCCCCTCTCCCACACCTGCAACCTGCACCAGGGCTGCTCCAGCTGGAGCCTCCCGGGCTTGGAAAAAAAACCAACAACCTGACCCACCCCAGAAATAAAACAGGTGGAATAGGAGTGGAGAGCAGCAAGGAGTCATCCCAAGTGTGGGGTAGGACACTGAGGAGCTTGTTTTCCCACACTGCTGAGCTGTCACCTCCCTTCCTCCCGCCGCAGGTCCCGGGGAGATGAGCATTTCATCGGAGCACAAGGCCCTTGGGAAGCAGGTCACCAGCAGCCTGCACACGGTGAGTACAGTACCTGGGGGCACAGTTTCCTCCTGTGGGATCAAAGCATCCCCTTTGGGCTACATGAGAAGGTGTTTTTTTTTTCCCCATCTGCTATTCTGAAGACACCAGGGCTCATTAGCTACCGAGGAGGGGACTGGAGGTAAAAAGCTGTGTCTGATTCTGACCTGTTTGCACCAGTTTGCTTCCAGAAGGGCCATGTCCCTCTCGGGTGTACAAGATCTGGCAACAGCAAATAACTAAAAGGGGCTCTTTCTCTCCTCAGACTCGAAGTGGAATTAAATTAATAGGAACTTCAATTGGTTAGATCCCTAAATAAACATTTCTTGTGAGCTTGGGGTTTTTCAACAGTTCTTAGAGCCTCGGATGGTACAAAAGCTGCCCCGTGTTGTAGATGTGCAGAGTCATCAGGTGGGAGCAGTAGTTTTTCTAGCTCTAAGGGAAATTAATGGCAATCTCAAGACAAGCAGCATATTCCTGGGCAGAAACCAGTGCTGAGATCAGATGCTGCTTTACTCTTCCTCTCTCCCTCAGCCTATTGCTAACAGGTTTCTCTCTGTGTTGTAGCCATGCAGCCTCTCCCCCAGGCCTCCCTCTCTTTTAACAAATCCAACCTCCTTGTGTTGCACTTTTTCAGGTGTAAGTTGCAAAATGCCTCCCCAAGGAGGTAACTCTTTTGCAGATTAATCAACTGGGGCACAGATGGGTGGAATGGCTTCCTAAGTGTCACCTCTGTAGTCACTACAGAGCTGGGAATCAGCTGGTGCCAGTACCCCCAGTCAGCTGGGAACCAGTTCAGTCCCAGGCCAAAACCATTAATCAAGATCTGAGGACATCAGGTTAGTTGGGCTACTGTTTTAATGAAGAACATATTATCCATTTGTATCAGTGACTAACAGTATAGAACATCTGACCAGCCATTTGAGAAAGGAGCAAAGGCTCAAAAGCATGAGACCTTCCTATCAAATGATCCCTGCAGGGGAAAGCTGCTTGTATCACTTGGACTAATGGCAAATTTCCTGACCAAGACGGTCAACAACAGAAGGAGCTTTGGGCCATGTTCTTTAGTGGACAGAAATCACCAGATAGTCTCAGCTAGAGTAACATTTGATGTCTTCTTGGCCCTAGTGTCAATGATTGCCATTGAGATGAAGCCACCCACGCTTGGGTAAAGCAATATTCCAGCTGGGTCTTTGGCCCAAATCTTCTGTTGTTTCCCTGTGGGGAAATTGCTGCTAAATCTGGTAGCTTGCTGCTGTTTAAAGGGAAAGGTCTGGGCTGTCTGTTCCCAGTCCCTTCCTTTTGCTTGTGAAATCCTTTCTGAGTTTCAGCTCCGTAAGACAAAGGGGAAGCAGAGCTGGCAGGAGCATTTAGAAGCACACAGGTAGGGACAGGGATGGAAGAGGGAGAGGGCAGCAGGTGTGAGCTGTGAGATCTTCTTGGTGTGAGCTGTGAGATCAGCTCACATCATCCCATGGGTCAGTACCTGTGGGATCCAGCTAAGAGCTTCAGTACACACTTCACTGGAGGCATGTGACTGGCAGCACTGGGGCAAGCCTTGCCTTATCCCAGCCAAGAAAGAGCAGGTGAGCTCCTGGAAAAGAAAAGGGCTGTTTACTGACTCATGCCTTCCCAATGGCAGGTGTGGTCCTGGCCAGGCATGTGACTTGTGTTACAGCAGTGACGCGGGAGGAAAAACAACTGCCTGCTTTCTTCCCTCTCCTTGTTCTCTGCTGAGCACCAAGGGCACAGGCAGGCTGTTAAAACTCTTCAGCTATGAACCCTCAGGAAGGGCAGGCTGGACACCAGATCCAGCTTTCCAGGCCTTCTCCAATGCATTTCAGATGGCAGTGCTATGAATGCCTGGTGAAATAAAGAAATATTCAGTCTTTATAATCTTCCTTCTTAAATCCATGTCAGTCATATGAATTATTCCCTTTACTTCCTAGCTAAAGCTATCATACATTTGAAAAGTGATTTGATAAAGAGCCTCTGTCTTCCACCTCTGACATGCTGGATTTTTGTGTCTTCATTCAGCATTTATAACTAAACCCCCCTGATGAGTGGAAGCCAATTCCACCCATTTCTAATGTTTCCAAGAGCTTTAGCTCCTCCTTTGAAGTGAAAACACCAGCTTGGGTGTAAGGAAGGGACCTGCAGAGCTTTGAGCTCAGTCCTTGTTCCTTTTCTTTGAGCTCAGTCCTTGTTCCTTTTCTTTGAGCTCAGTCCTTGTTGCTCTGCCTGTGAGGAGGGTGAGAGCTCAGGTTGCTCTTGCTGGTAGGACAGAGGTCAGCAAGGACAAAGCCTGGGTGGGACTTAGAAGGTTGATGTTGGATCTTGTAGCCACTCACAGCTTCCCTGGGCACGGTCCTTCTTCTCCCTCTTCTTGGCAAAACAATACTTTCCTACATTCCATTTTGAAATGTCCAAGTCTGCTGCTTCGATGATGAGGGCTGCAGAAACATCTTGCACCTGCTTTTAGCAATGAATTGGGTGGGTGTTCCCACCTGTCCCCCAGGAGATGGGAGTTCACAGTGTCATTCCACTTCCCAGCTGCACTCACCCTTGTGTTTTTTGTTTTTCCCCTCTTCCTTGACACTTGCTTGTCAACAGCCTCAGCCAGGTAACACAGGTGGCTTTTCTGTCCCCTCATGACACTTGCAGGTGTCCCCTATCGTGGAGCTCAACGTTGGGGGGGAGATGTACACAACAACGCTGAGCACCTTGAAGAAACACCCGGGCTCCAAGCTGGCAGAGATGTTCACTGGCAAGCCCAAGCTCAGGACTGACTCCGAGGGGAGGTTCTTCATCGACAGACCAGGCACCTACTTCAAGTACATCCTGGACTACCTGCGCAGCAACCAAGTGCCCACCCAGTGCCTCCAGGACGTCTACAAGGAGGCCCTGTTCTACGACATCGAGCCACTGATCAAGCAGCTGGAGGACTCCCCGCAGATCTTCGGGGAGCTGGTGGCCAGGAAGCAGTTCCTGGCCCGTGTGCCCAACTACGGCGAGAACCTGGAGCTGATGATCCGCATCGCCAGGGCGGAGGCCGTGGCCTCCCGCCGCTCCGGCGTCCTCGTCTGCCTGGTCAGGACCCAGGAGGACGAGCTCAGGTGTCAGGATGCCTTGAGCAGCTTGGAGATGGATAAAAAATCCGTGGTGAAGTTCGGCCCCTGGCAGGCGGTGCCGGGGATCGCGGACCTGCTGGACTGCATTCGGATGGACGTGGAAGCCAGAGGGTATAAAATATCCTTCCAGCCCCACGTGGCGGAGAAGGGGTTTCGCTTCAAGTCGCAGGACTACTTCTACAAGTTCCTCTTCACCTGGTGGTAGCAAAGTGCCGCCATCCGTGGGGGATGGAGGAGAGCTGGGGCTGGAGCACCTCTCCTGTGAGGACGGGCTGGGAGAGTCGGGGTGTTCAGCCTGGAGGAGAGAAGGGGAGACCTGAGAGCAGCTTCCAGTGCCTGAAGGGGCTCCAGGAAAGCTGGGGAGGGGCGTGGGACAAGGGCAGGGAGGGATGGGATGAGAGGGAGTGGTTTTAAACTGAAAAAGGGGAGATTTAAGTGAGGTACTAGGAAGAAATTATTCCCTATGAGGGTGGGGAGAGCCTGGAACAGGTTGCCCAGAGAAGCTGTGGCTGCCCCGTCCCTGGCAGTGTTGAAGGACAAGTTGGATGGGTCTCTGAGCAACCTGTTCTGGTGGGAGGTGTCCCTGCCCATGCAGGGGGGTTGGATCTGGATGATCTTTATGGTCCCTTCCATCCCAAACCATTCTGTGATTCCAGGATTCTATGAAAGGAACTATAAACACAAATTATCTTGGGCCACAGAGACTAAGTCCCCGAGAGGGACAGGAAAAAATGCATGGCCCAAGGCAAGGATCTCCCTTGGTCATTTGCCAAATTTAAAGAGCACTTAAGAGCCAGTGTTCACTTTGGCTTTGGGGGATAACTGTATGATTTAAAAGGTATTAGGAAAAGGAGGAATTTTACCCTTTCAGTGTTGCTGACTATTAGATAAGACCAGAGAGCCAGATCTGAGGGTCAAGCCAACCTCACTCAATCTGGGACACTCCAGTAGACACCACCCTACCCTCCAGCCAATGTATTTATTACCCTTATTTATTATTTATTCTGAAGAAAAGACAGAGAATCTCAGCTATGACCCAGGGTCAACAAAAGGCACAAGTGCCACCACTGATCTGAGGAGTTTATCATCTAAGGACACACACTCCTCTTTCATGCCACACCATTTCCATCTTTTCCTTGTGATATTCGTTATGATTATGCTATTATTGCTAAATATATAAACTTCTGGAAGAACAGGGGAGACCCACAGAGATTTCATGGGATGGAAGGACTATTGAAGCAAGAGCCTGGGGCCTCAGTGCAAATTTTCTTCTAGAGAACAGTAAGTTCTTGTTGTGTTTTAAAAATTGTGTTTTAAAAATCTTAGTATTATAAAGTTTATTTTTGTACTGGAGATGGCTGTTAGCTTGGTTTTAATCACTCTGAAAAACATAGTGTCTAATTTGATCATATTTCCTTTCTTTCTCAGCACATGGATTTCTTCCACTTTCAAATAAACTCTAGGATGTTAAATAAATGACCTCTCAGAATGACACAGAAGTGCTTTATTTCCTGACATCTTTCCCCCTGATCAAAAGACCTGAAGTTGCATATTTATGCTGATGGGTTTGAATCATTCCTTAAATAATCCTGGGTTTAGGACGTGCTCATCTGAGCACAGACTTTCCCTCAGTAGAAGTCAGGAGTCACCCCACCAACCTCAGGGTGGTTCTGCTGGAGGTGTGAGGGGACTCTTGGAGACATCCCATGTTTATAACCTTGGTAAGAATGGACAATCAAGTGTCTGAGAAGACACCAGGTTTATAAAATAGGATCTGTGATCATAATCAAGTGGTTGGTGGTAGGAGAGGAGAGGTTGAGGACTCCTCCTAAAAGGCAAAAGGCAGCTTTAAAGAGATCTGTTTGTACATAAAGGTAGAAGAACTGGCTTAAATTGCAACAAAGGAGATTGGAATTAGAAGAAGAAAAAAAAAAAAGGTGGTTATAGGGTTGTTAAAGCCTCAAACCAACCGTGTTCCTAAGACTGCAAGACTGCTCTCAGGAGAGAGTTTAATAGTTTAATCAGTGATGGTCCCATAGAACAGCCGAGGCTGGAAGGGGCTTTGAAGGATCATCTGGTCCAACCTCTGGTGGGAAAGGGAGTCTGGATGAGATTATTGAGCACCCTGTCCTGTCACCTCTTGGAAACCCTCAGCTACGTGGACTCCACCACATGCCTGGGGAGGTGGTTCCAGTGAATGATGCTTCTCACTGTAAAAAAAAAATGCCTTTCTTAGGTCAAAATGAAACCTCTCCTGATGCACCTTGTGCCTGTTGCCTGCTGGCCTCTCCAGATGGCTCCTTGTGAAGAGAGAGGTGCCATCTCCTCATGCTGAGGTTCCCCCAGAGAGCACAGACCCAACCCCTCCAGTCTCCCCTGGTCCAGCAGGTTCTCCAGAGCCTCGATCACCTCCCGGGTCCTCCTTTGGACCCTTCAGCCCCTCCCGAAGTCACAAGATGCAATGGGAAGATCTTTGGTTTTTCATAGAATCACAGAATCCTAAGGGTTGGAAGGGACCTGGAAAGCTCCCCCAGCCCAACCCCCCTGCCAGAGCAGGGGCACCCAGAGCACATCACACAGGAACGTGGCCAG